GCCCGCGAGTCCGCCTCGACCGTGCGTTTCCGTCAGGACTCGCCAAGACCTGTCGTGGGTTCTAGTTCAGGCTCTCCTGCCACACCTTTCTTTTCTTCTTTTTTTTAACCTAAAACACGCACTCATTTTTATGAGGGCGAAAAGGGAAGTTCAGCTTTTCTTAAACTCGCTAGAAGTGTAGCTGTAAGACATCTTCCATACCAATGAGAAGGAGAGACGATTTCCACGGCATGAAAGGGCTTTTAAAGGGTTCATCTCGGCAGCCCCCTCGGGTCCCCTTCCACGGTGGGAGCTTTTCTGTCCCCTCAACAAATCTTGCTTTCTCAACTAAATAAATAAATAAAAATGAAAGGGTCGTCTATTCGGTAAGAGCTGACTACGTGTTACGTGTATTGTGCTTGGTACATAAACATTCTCGTTGATTGAAAAAATGACGAGTGGAAAGATGCCAACCTTCATTTTATAAGGTGCTTTTTTAAAAAAATTAATGTGTTGGGCATGATTCCATTTTTGTAAATGTAAAATTTTAAAACTCATTTCTGGGTTTCCTGCAGTGACACGTGTTACATATGTGGTTTGTATTTAAGCCAGGGAAGGGAGAGTGAGTGATAGCGCGTGTGATCAAAATCTTCCTGATAAGAGGATTCTGACATCCTTGAGTAAAAAGCCAAATCTCTTCATCGAGGCAGTTATGCATACAAAAGGCACATAAAAACGTTTGCTGAAATGAAGATGGTTAGCATTTTTGGTCTTGAGTGAGCATCTCACCATCATGCTGGAAGGATATCTGATAAGCATTTGGGTATTGTTCAGCCCTTAGTAGGAGTCAAACCCTTTCTTATTCAAGTGATCCTACTCTTACCTGACAGTCTAAATCCAGGCCAGCTTGCAACGTTAATTTTTAATGCCATACCTAGTTTCGTTTTCTTACTTTTGATCCTTCATTTTCTAAGGAACTTGAAATGTATTCTGAAATAGCACGAGAACACTTAACATGTTTGGCTGTTGGTTTTGTGTTCTCCCTGATACTTTCAAAGTGAAGATTTTGGCTGTATAAATTCTGGAAGTGTACAAAAGAAGTATTAGGAATACGGCTTGAAGTTTTAGTTTATTACATAAGATGGAAACTGGTTTTCTTTTTATTTTTGAATGCAGTAGATTGGGATGGTCACTCAAAGGACACTATGTATGTTAGGTGAGGCATTTTATTGATTGGCATCATTTCTGTACATTTCATGGTTGTCAGTGTCCTCAAACTACTCCCTTCCCCTTCTCCCAGTTGGTGGTTGAGTAAGAACTAGTAGCAGCAATTAGAAGTGAAGATCAACTCACAGAGGGTTAGTTATTCAATGCCCAGGAGTTGGAACATGCGCATTTTCATTGCTGGTTCTACCACTTCTTAATTGGCTTAACTTTAACTGAGTCTTTTCCTCATCAGTAAAAATGAGGCGGATCTGATAGCCTTTTATGTACCTTACAGGATTGTTTTGAAGATGAAATAGGATAAGGGTTAGGAAAATGCTTAATAAAATAAAAAGACACTGTCTTATTACCTACTGTATCATCTTGTCACTTACAGTCCTGATATACCCAGAACTTAGTTTGCACCTCAGCTAGAAATGAGACGGTTTTAGTAATGATGCCAAGTTTTCCCTGCCATGTATATCACCTTCCTGATTAAAAAAAAAAAGCAGCATATAAGACTGGTGGAGAAAGTTTCACAACACATTTCTATTTCTGACATTCCTTCCCTGACTACGCTTCAGTGAGAAGAACACTAATCTGAGACACTGATCGACTTGAGTTGGGGTGGTCACTTTACCTTTCTATTTGTTTTCCAAAACTAAAAGCAATTGAAAGTATGGACTAGCGGGCACTGTGGCTCATCACACCTGTAATCCCAGCACTTTGAGAGGCAGAGGCTAGAGGATTATCTGAGCCCAGGGGTACGAGACCAGCCTGGGCAACTTGGGGATAAATCAGAAAATTAACTGGGCATGGTGCCACACACCTGTGGTTCCACCTATTCGGAAGGCTGAGGCTGAAGGATCTCCTGGGCCCAGCAATTTGAGGCTGCAGGACCATGAGCGTGCCACTGCGTTCCAGCATGGTTGTCAGAGTGAGACTCCAGCTCAAAAAAAAAAAAAAAGAACAAGAAAGTATGGACTTTAAAATCTGCTAGTCATCAGCCTGGGCAACTTGGCAAGACCCCAGACCTCATCTCTACAATAAATCAAAAAATTTGCTGGGCGTGATAGCTAAGGCAGAAGGATCGCCTGAGGCCAGCAGATTGAGGCTGCCGGGGCTATGAGTTGAAAACAAAAAACAAAAAATCCGCTAGGCATGTGTTCATATCTCAACCCCAGCACTTATTGAATATTCAACTTTGACTTTATCATGCCTCAGTTTCTTTATCACTAACAAGGAGTAAATAATAACAGGGAGAACTTGGCATCATTACTAAGACCGTCTAATTTCTAATTGAGGTGCAAACACTATTTTTGCTACTTCAATAAGTTCTGGGGATATCAGGACAGTATACCTGATGTGGATTTTACATATCATAGGATTAAATGAGATAAAGTATGTTCACAGCCTGGTACATATGGTGCTCAATTATCGTCGTTATTTTTACTTATTTTTGTTTTTGTTTTGTTTTGGGGGGGGTTTTTTTAGTTGGAGTCTCCATCACCCAGGCTGGAGTGCAGTGGCACATTCACAGCCACCTCAGCCTCTACCTGCTGAGCTCAGGCCATCCTTCTGCATCAGGCTTCCAAGTAGCTGGAACTACAGGCGCATGCCACCATGCCCAGCTAATTTTTTGGATTATTGTAGAGACGAGGTCTCACCAAGTTGCCCAGGCTGGTCTTGAATCCCTAGGCTGAGGCAATCCTCTCACCTTGGCCTCCCAAAGTGCTGGGATTACAGGCTTGAGCCACCACGTCTGGCCTACTTACATTGTTAAATAATCTATAAGGACCTTAACAGTTTAAAGTCTGTGATTTGGTTTGCTTTCATTATGGCTGACTAAATTAATGCAGATATTTATTCCTATTTTAGTGTCAAAAGATACAGCTATAGCTTTAGAAGGTAAATTTCATTCAAAAATGTGAAATATTTACATATAATCACATATCAATATAAACAGGTTTTAGTATTTAGTACATCATATCCAACAGCATATTATTCCTGAATTAATTCCATATAACTTTCCAGTTGATTAAAGATCTGGTACCATTATATTCTTGAGTCTCAGAAATGAGCTACATTTTTGCTTATATAAATTGTCATGTTTTACTTACAGGCGTTTTTTACCACCTGTGGAAGCGTCCCCATAATTCATTTTTCCTGACTCCAGTAATAAGAATTATACCAAGTAAGTGGATGTAGTGAAACTAGTTTGTTAATTTTATAACAGTTCTTAGGAATTTAATCAAACAGTGGATACTGCACCTGTTATGTTTCCAGTAGAATATTGAATATGGGTCGGGCGCGATGGCTCATGCCTATAATTTCAGCACTTTGGGAGGCTGAGGTAAGAGGATTGCCTGAACCCAGGGGTTCGAGACCAGCCTGGGCAACTTGGTGAGACCTCGTCTCTACACTAAATCACAAAAGCTAGCCAGGCATAGTGGCGTGTGTCTGTAGTTGCAGCTACTTGGAAGGTTGAAGCGGAAGGATCATCTGAGCCCAGCAGGTTGAGGCTACAGCAGCCATGAGCATGCCACTCACTGCTCTCCAGCCTGGGTGACAGAGTGAGACACTGACTCAAAAAAATATATATTTCCAATAGTAGGAAATATGACTGTAAACTTCTTGTTTAATAAGGTACTATTAGTAAAATGTTTCTTTTTTTATATATGCAAAGTAATTTAAGCATAGGGCTTATTGTAATTATCCAGTTCTCACAATTGCATCAACAATTTGAAAAAGAATTTCTCAACCTCAGGAAAGAAAACAGAAATTATTGTCCTGCCTTTACATTTGATCAAAAAAATTCAAAATATAGAGGCATTGTTTAACGTTTTTCTTATAGATTTTCAAGACATATTTCTTATTGCCAGTAAATTCTTTGGTTAGGAAGAATTTTTATAACAATATTAACAGTTGTTATTTGTGACATTAATTTTTTTCATTTTTTAGATTGAAAAGATATGAATGAGTATCCTAAAAAAAGAAAAAGGAAGACTTTACACCCTTCTCGTTATTCAGGTCTGTGTATAATTAATTTAAAGCTGTGTCATGGATTAATTCCCAAGAAATTGTATTCCCATTTATTTTCTCATAAACGATCAGATGAGACTTAAATATCTGGGTCAATTTTTAGGAAAGACAACAATTTAACTAAATGCTCTGGATGCATAATTCCTCATTGGCTGTCATGTACTAGGCACACATCAGAACTTTACAAACATGATTTTACTCTTCACAGCCCTGTGGGCTGTAGATATTTGAAATTAGGTAGCCAAGGTTACTTAGGCAGAGTAATTGGAATTTGCCTTTGAATTCCCAAGCTGTGCTCAAGACATAATGGTTGCCTCGGTAGAAGATATTTTGCACTATTGAGGGAAAAAGACTTTACTGTGTGCATTACTTTCAGAAATGTGAACTTGCATTTTGATTGTTAATTTTAGATCCTTTGAGGTTGGCTCTGCTGTGGTGGCAGTATAGAAAAGTGGCCCATCTCTAAGACACTTCATATACAAGTACTTAAGGCAGTCTCAGTCATACCTATTGGCCTACCTAACCCACACATTCTTCATATCTGTGGAAATTAAGCCTAGTATACTATTTGGGCCCTTTCCAGACAAGACTTGAAATAACTATATTCATAAACCCTAGTTGGTCCTTTCCACCTCCCCTATGTGTTGACCTTTCTCTGCACTCCATGTCGTATCCTCCTGGCAGTTAGTTCAGTGTTTTGTGCAGTTAACACATGGTTTATCATATATTTTTATTTTTTGAGATCCTGACTATAAGGCAAATGTACCTTGTGTTTTTCAAAGTTATGTTTTAAAGTGTGTAATGTGGTTCTTTCAAAGCTCGATGTCAGTATCAGATCTGAAACATAAAGGCTTTAAAAATTGAGGAACATATTATACAGTGTATTCATTACAAATAAACTAAATATTACAAATAACTAAAATCATGAAAACATACATGTAGGATAAAGGGATGTCTCTCATTAAATGTGTATATGTTTTTTGTGGTTGAAATTTATTTCATTTTGTTTTATGTTCAGACTCCTCTGGAATAAGCAGAATTGCAGATGGATTCAATGGAATTTTTTCTGATCATTGTTATAGTGTCTGTTCTATGAGACAGCCAGACTTAAAATATTTTGACAACAAAGGTATATCTAATATTTTTTTAAATATTTTTCTTTAAATTGTTTTCACATAATTTTATTCCTTATTTGAAAATGCAGGTAAAATGTGGGTTGATGTTTTCAAAGCAGGCAAGTGTTTGAATTTGTTATGATGTGAGAAAACAAATTTGTTTTTTTTGTTGGGTTTTTTTTTTTTTGGTGAGTTGGAGTCTCACTCTGTCGCCCAGACTGGAGTGCAGTGGCCGCTCCCGGCCACCGCAGCCTCGACCTGCTGGGTTCCAGCAATCCTTTCGCTTCAACCTTCCAGTAGCTGGAACTACAGGTGCGCGCTACCACACCCGGCTAATTTTTGATTTATTGTAGAGATGAGGTCTCGCCAAGTTGCCCAGGCGGGTCTCGAACCCACGGGCTCAGGCAGTCTACTCACCTCACCCTCCCAAGGTGTGAGATTACAGGCTGAGACACCGAGCCCAGCTACAAAGTTGTATTTTTTTTTAAGAAAGCAAGTAAGTAATTTTAATTTTTAACATTATTTCAGACATATAAAAAGCATACTCTCCTAAATCCATTTTATTTGGCTTGAAATTAGTGGCAAAAGGGGAGTGATGCAGCGTTGGGAGCATTTATGAATGGTGTCAGCAGGGAGCAGTAGCTCGGGCCCGTAATCCTAGCACTTTGGGAGGCCGAGGTGGGAGGATTGCTTGAGCCTAGAAGTTGGAGACAAGCCTGGGCAACATAGTAAGATCTCTTCTGTACAAAAAAATTTAAAAAATTAGCCAGGCATGGTGGCATATGTCTATAGTCCCAACTGCTTGGGATACTGACACAGAAAGATCACCTTAGCCCAAGAGGTCGAAGCAGCAGTGAGCTATAATTGTGCCACTGCACTCCAGTCTAGGTGGCAGAGTGAGACCCCCAACTCATTCAGTGGTCTTTCTGAAATAGAGGAGTCAACAGAAGATGCAAGGCTGAAAAAGACCAAACCACCCTCTGTTCTTTCCTTCTGCTACCCCACCCAGACTGTCAGGTATAGCTGAGTAGAAGAACTGTGTATAACACCACTCTTAACCTTTCACAATAAATGCTCCCAACTCTGCGTCATTCCTGCTTTGCCACCAATTTCTAGCCAACTAAAATGGATTTGAGAGAGTTTGCTTTTTACTCTATGTATGAAATAACATTATCAACTAAAATTACTTGTTTTCTTTTAAAAAAGTACTATTTTGTTTTCTCACATTATAGCATCAACACCAACAGTCATAAATCTTGTTGATAATATGTATCTTGGTAGGATGTGATGAAAATGGCAGCTTATATCTGTCTACTTCCCAAGAATGTACAGTTCTCCTCACTCTAATCATTAAAAAAAAAAAAAAAAAACCAGCAGAGAGATTCCATTGGCAGGGCATCCTACAAAACACCTGACTAGTATTCCAAGGTCATCACAAATAAGGATGGTGAGAAACTGCCGAGCCAACAATAGCCTATAAAGACATGACAACTAAGTGTAGTATGGTATCCTGGATGAGATCCTGGAGCAAATAAAGGACATTTGGTAAAAACTAAGGAAATCTAGATGAAGTATGGACTTTAGTAACAATGTATCGGTATTGGTCATTAGTTGTAACAAATGTACCATACAAATACAAGGTGTTAAAAGTGGAGAGATAGTGTGGGGTATATGGAAACCCTCTGTACTATCCTCTCAACCTTTTCTGTGAATCTAAAACTGTTCTAAGTAATAAACTTTATTTTTTTTTTAAATGTTGGGCTAGGCAAGGTGGCTCACACTTGTAATCCCAGCATTTTAGGAGGCCAAGGTGGGAGGACCACTTGAGACCAGGAGTTTGAGATCAGCTTGGGCAACATCGTGAGAACCCATCTCTACCAAAAAAAAAAAATTATCTGGTGCTTTAAAATACTGCAGCTGCACTAGAGAATAAAGGCTTATTCAAACTCAATAATTTAAACTTAAAATCCTAAGTAACTTCAAAAAGTTTATTCTAGTCCAAATGAGACATGGAAGCAAAAGCAGTTGCTTGTTTGAGCAGATTTTCTGCATCTGGGACATATAGATAACTTCTCTTTTCATGACTAAATCTAAGTCCTGAGTTGCTGTTGGAATTCAAAATTATATTAAAAACAACTAATGTTTCATTTAGTAATTGTGCTTAATGCTTTGATACAAGTAATAAGTATTCCAAATCTTTTTTTACAGACGATGATTCTGATACCGAGACATCAAATGACTTACCAAAATTTACAGATGGAATCAAGGCCAGGAACAGAAATCAGAACTATCTGGTTCCCAGTCCTGTACTTAGAATTCTAGACCACACTGCCTTTTCTGCAGGTTGGGGAAAGTAATTAAAGTATTGACATATTTTGTATGAATGAATGAAAAACAATACATACATTTCTTTTTGCCCAATTGTATTTATCTATCAGGTGTTTCTGAGTAATAGTAAAATAATAATAGGCTTATTTTATTCTTCAGAAAAGTCTGCTGCTATTGAAATTTGTGATGAAGAGTGTGACTCACCTGAATCAGTCAACCAGCAAACTCAAGAGGAGAGTCCTATAGAAGTTCACGCTGCTGAAGATGTTCCGATTGCCGTAGAAGTACATGCGATTTCTGAAGATTATGATATAGAGACAGAAAACAATTCCTCTGAGAGTATCCAAGACCATATTGATGAAGAACCACCAGCTAAACTCTGTAAAATTCTTGACAAGAGCCAAGCTTTGAATGTGACTGCCCAGCAGAAATGGCCTTTGCTGAGAGCTAATAGCAGTGGCCTCTATAAATGTGAACTTTGTGAGTTCAACAGCAAATATTTTTCTGACTTAAAGCAGCATATGATCCTGAAGCATAAACGTACTGACTCAAATGTGTGTCGAGTATGCAAGGAAAGTTTCTCTACCAACATGCTTCTGATAGAACATGCCAAACTACA